CCGGGGCTGAGCCCGGGGCTGCCCGATGGCACCGGCGGCAGCACCTGCAGGGGGGGCCGGGCACCGTCACCCCGCGGGCACCCGGCACTGAACCCCCCCCCGGCACCAGGGGGGACACCCCGGGGACATGGAGAGGGACGTGATGGGCTTCGGGATGGGGACACAACGGGGACGGGGACGCCGGCAGAAAGGTTTCCCTTTTGTCCCTTTTTGGAGCCAGGGACATCATAGGAAGAGGGGTTCAGAGGGAAAGCCCTGGGCCTGGAGAGGTGACCCCACGGGGATCACAGGTACAGGGACACCACAGAACGGGTGATGCCACAGGCACGTGGGTGGGGACACCCAGGATCCAGGGAGGGGGAAGGAGAGGACACCGTGGGCCTCGGAAACGGGGTCCCACAGGCTTAGGGACACCACAGACTGGGAAGAGGGAATGGGGAGGGGGCGCCAGAGCCTGGAGAAGGGGACACGGGGTCAGGGGGGGTTGCAGACACTGATACTCACCTCGGGCAGGGGCACACAGAGACCGGGGGGCAGCGGGGGGGGCAGCTGCTCTGCAGAACATGGTTGGGGGGTGACCGGGGTGTCCAGGGGCACTGGCACCGGGTGCAGTGGCAGCTGGAGAGGAGGGAGAAGGCGGGTTAAGCTTTTGGGGGGGCTCTGCCCTGTGGCCCCCCAGCTCCAAGGTGGTTCCAGGCACACCTGGGGCAGGGACCCGGTCGAGAGGTGCAGCTTCTGCTGGAACAGGTCGCTCAGGGCCTGGTTCTGCCGCTCCAGCTCGAACACCCGTTTCTTCAGCTTGATGCACTCCTCACGCAGGTCCTGGCCAGGGCAGGGGGGTGGGAGGTTAGAAAGGACCCCTCAGACTCCCAATATCCCCCCCCCAGACCCCAAACATTCCCCCTAGAACCACAACACCCTCCCCGGCCCTCCTGACACCCACCTTTTGGTTGAGCAGCGCCTGCACCACGTGGTTGGCGACCTGGGGAGCAGAGGGGGGGGTTTGGGTGGGGGTGGGAGGGCACACACAGCCCCGTGCCCCGGCACACACGTGTGCACACGTGTCCCACACGTGTGTGTGTGTGTCCCTGTGTCCCCGTGTCCCCGTACCTCGTCCAGGCAGCGCTCGTACGTCTCCCGCTGGTTCTCGTTGGCCTGGGCCAGCGCCGAGTTCTCCGCCTGGGACAGAGCAGGGACAGCTCAGGGGATGCAGTGGAGGGGCCCGGGAACCCGGACCCCCCCCCCCATGGCACCAAAGGGACCCCTCCTCCTCTTCCTGGTGGGACCCAGGGCCACTCGTGGAGGGGCAGAGCTGACCCCGGAGCAGTGGCACACAAGTGCTGCCCATCACTGCAGTGTCCATGTGGGCTCCATGGCTGGCTCTTGGCACCAGCTGCCTGGTGGCCATGGTTTCACGGTGGCCATGGCTGCCCGGTGGTCCCGTGCCCCGGTGGCCCCATCCCCACATACCTCCAGCTCCCGCAGCCGCTGCAGCAGCTCATGGCTGGTGCCCGTCTCTCCCAGGGCCGCGGGGCTCCCGGCTCCCGGCGCCTCAGCCACGCTCTCCGACATCGCTGCTGCAGGGGACACGCGTCAGGAGGGTCCCTGCTGGCCCTGGCCAGTGTCCCCCGGGCCGTGGCACCCCCAGACCCTGCACAGCACAGAGCCCCCTTACCTGGCTCAGGAAGACCCCAGCCCTGTCCCTCTATGGTGTCACCTGCCGGGAAAATGGGGTTGAAGGGGGTGGGACGAGGCCTCAGGAGACCCCCCCCGGGGCCGAGTCCTGACCCCACCGGCACTGGGAGCCACAGGGAGCCCTCCCGCCACCCAGCCCCTTCCTGGGGGTGCGAGGGCCCCGGGCCGGCACCGGAATGCACAACACCCCCGGGAGCGGGACCGGGACCAGCCCCGGGGCACCGGGATGCGCGGGACTCCCAGGACCGGGATCAGGACTAGCCCCGGGGCACCGGCGTGCGCAGCGCCCCCGAGACCGGCTCCGGCCCCGCCACCGGGGCACAGGGATGCGCAGCACCACCGGCACCGGGATCAGCACCGGCCCCGGGGCACCGGAATGTGCAGCGCCCCCGGGGCTCACCCCGGCGGTCCCGGGGCACCGCGATGCGCTGACCCGGTGCACAGAACCGCCGGCGCGCAGACGGGGCCCCCCTTCCCGGTACCGCGCACCCCGCGCTCCCCCCCGGGGCTCCCCCCGCCGCCGGTGCCGCTGCGGCCCCGCGTTGAGCCCCGGCCCCGGTCCCGCACTCACGCCCGGGGCTCCCGGCGGCGCCGCCCGTCCCGGCTCAGCGCGGCCCCGGGGCCGGTCCCGGCGGCGGCAGCGGCTCCATCCCGGCCCGGCCCGGCCGCGCTATTGTTGGGAGGCGGCGGCGGCGGCTCCGCCTTCCCGCCGCGGCCGGGGAGGAGCCGGGGATGAGCCGCCGCCGCCCCCGGTGCGCGGCTCCGCCAGCGCCAACCCCGGGGAACCGGCGCGGGGACCCCCCCGGGACAACCGGGCACCGTCCCGCCAGAGGAAGCACCGGGAATCCCCCTGCGGCACCCCATGGAGGGACAGGGCACCCCATGGAGGGACACCCCCCACCCCGGGGAACTCCGCACCCTCGGGAGGGACCCCCCGGAGCCGGGGACCCCTCGGGGAGCCCCCCCGGGGCTGCAGGCGGAGCCAGGTCGTGAACCCCGGACGTGGCCGCCACCCCCCCACCCCACGAGGGTGAGGTTTGGGGGGGTTCGGGGTTCACACGGGGCCACGCGGCCCCGGCTCACCCGGACCCCACGGCACCGCGGCGTGGGGGGGCTCGGCAGGACAAGGGGGGGCCGGAGGGGACAAGAGGAGGGTCTGGAGGGGGTGATGGAGGGGACAAGAAGAGGATCTGGGGGTGATGGAGGGGACAAGAAGAGGGTCTGGGAGGGCACGGCCACGCTTCTCACGTGCTGTCCCCGTGCCCTGCGGCCCGCGGGGTGATCCCATGCGGGTGCCCGTGGTCCCCATTGTCCCCGAGGTGCCCGCGGCCCCCTCGCCCGCCCCCCGCGCAGGAAGCGGCCCCGGGGCCGGCGGCTCCGGCTGCGTCACGGGGGGAAGTGAGGCTCCGTCTGGAGGGGAAGAGCAGCCCGCGGCCCCCCCAAGCCCCCGGCGGGGACAGCCGGGGGGGGCCCCGACAGATGGACGGCGCGGCCGTCCCCTCCCCCCAGCGTGGGGCCCCCGCGGGGGCAGCGCGAGGGTCCCTGTGGGGAGGGGGGACACAGCCGAGGGCACCCAGGGCTCAGGTCCCCTCCCCGGTGTCACCCCTCACCCCGGTCACTCGTCCCCGCTGCCCCGGGCACTGCGGGGACACGGTGTGGGCACAAGGGCACGTGCCCAAACCGCGGCCGAGGACACGCCAGCGTGGCCCTGACGGGCTGGCCCTGGGCTGCCCCACACCAGGGTCCCCACCCCGAGCCCAGGGACGTGGGGTGACAGCCCTGAGTGTCCCCAGCTCTGCTGGGCTGCTCTGGGGGCAGCCAGGACACACTGGGGACAGCCCGGGGACAGGCAGGATGCAGCAGGGACAGCAAGGACACCCTGGGGACGGCCGGGATACACCGGGGACAAGTGGGATGTGCTAGAGATACAGCCTCGGGGTGCAGGGACACATCGAGGACAGCCGGGACTCGCCAGGGACACGCAGGGACAGCCGGGGATGCGGTGGCGGCGCTGGGGACGGTCAGGGATGCAGTGGGGACAGCAGAGACACACGCAGGGGACAGCCGGGGTGCACTGGGGACAGTGGGGACCAGCAGGTGGGATGGAGGACAGTGGGGGACATCCCAGGGACACCGGGATGCACTGGGGACATACCGGGAACAGCCAGGATGCACCGGGGACACCCCGGGGAAAGTCAGGATGCACTGGGGACACTGGGGACATAACAGGGACAGTAAGGGTGCACTGGGGACATAATAGGGACAGTAAGGGTGCACTGGGAACACCCCAGGGACAGCCAGGATGCAGTGGGGACACTCCAGGGACAACCAAGGTGCACTGGGGACACTGGGGACAGCCGGGATGCTCCGGGGACATTGGGAAGACCCCAGGGACAGCCGGGATGCTCTGGGGGCACTGGGGACACCCCAGCACGCACTGGGGACAGCGGGGACAGCGGGGAGAGCCGAGGACACAACCGGGATGCACCGGGGGGCACCGGGGACATGCGGGGGGCTCCGACCGGGCCACCCCGCGCCGCTTCCCCAGGGTCGCCCCCCAACCCCTCCCGGCACGTCCCGGTGCCCGGAGGCCACGGATTCCCCCCCCACCGGTGCCCCGAGGAGCGGCCGGAACCCCCCTCCCCGGACCCCCCCGCCCGCCCCCCGCCGCGGCGCGACCGGACTCACCGGGGGCTACGGCGGGGCCGGGACGGCATGGCCGGGGCTGGGACCGGGGCTGGGACCGGGACCGGGGCGGGACCGGGGCCGGGGCGGGACCGGCGGCGGCGGTGACGTCATGGCTCCACCGGGCCGGCCCCGCCCTGCGCCCCCGCCGCCGCCAATCCGCGCCCGGGGGCGGCGGGGGGGGGGGGGGGGGGGCCCCCGGCGCGGGGGGGGCCCGGGGCCGCCGCCGCCGCCGCCTCCGCGGCCCCCCCCCCCCCCCCCCCCCTTCCCCTTCCCGTGAGCCCCGGGAGCTGCTTGAGACGGGCCCGGTGCCCCCCCCCTCCACCAACCCCGCCGGGATTCGGTACCGAGCGACCGGATTGGGACCGGCCGCGTCCCACGGAGCCCCCTCCCGTGTCCCCCCCCCATCGCTGCGGCCGCCGGGCTCCGGGGTCGTGGGTGAAAGGCTGAAATAAGGGAGTGACCCCCCAAGGGCCCCCCCGGCAGCAGGACTGGGGCTCTGGCAGCAGCGCGGTCCCACCCCCATGGGAGGTCACTCATCCCCCCCTCCGGAGCATCCCCGAACACCCCCTGGGCGCCCCCCCAGCCTTCGGCTCATCAACAAGACACGGGGACACCAGGACCTCACCTCCATCGTTTTATTGTGGGGGGAACCTCCATCCCCCCCCAAATGTTACAGGGCCACGTCACCCCCCCCGGGGGCACATGAGGACGTGGCAAAGGATCCCAGAACTCCGGTGAGTCCCTCCCTGTCTTCTCCAAGAGTCTCCCTGTGGCTCCTCCATCCCCACAGGCAAGGGTGGGGTCCAGGATCCCCATGCCAGGGTTTTAGGGTCCTACTCCAGAGTTTTAGGGTCTTCATGCCAGGGTTTTTCAGAGCCGCCACTCCGGGGTTTTAGGGGCCCCACTCTGGGGTTTTGGGGTCCCCAGGAATCACGTCAGCAGAGGAACCCGAGCTGTGGCTCATCCTGGCACCGGACCAGGACATCAGCGCCTGCGGGTCCCTCCACATCCCACGCCAAGGGTCCCCCCCCGTCCCACGCTGAGGGTCCCACGGGAGCAGAGATCCAGGGGGTGCCGGGCTCAGCTCACAGCCCCCGGCTCCAGGCTCCCGTTGGCGGTGGCTCCCCGGGCCGAGGTGGCCGAGGCCGTTTCCTCCTGGTCCTCCTGAGGCCCCGTCCGGCCGGGGAGGTGACCCTGCTGGGGACAGAACAGGGACACTGAGCTGGCTGTGGTGGGACACGGCCAGACCAGCCTGGGCTGGTGTCTCTCCCACACGAATTGGCTGTTCCACGGCACGGGAGCACCAACAGACCGGGAGATGCTTCCTCTGGGCTCCTGTTTGAAACCAGCGGCTACAGCAAACCGGGGGTCTTCAGTCAGAGCCCGGGCTGGGCCCCCCACCTCATCCCAAAACTCGGCTCCCACCCAGGGAGGGCAGGGGAGGCAGGACAAGGTGACATCTCCAAAGAGGACACTCTGGGGGGTCATCCCAAGGAAGCCCCAGGCTCCAGGCGGGACACGGGAGGAGCAAACTCAAGACTCCAAAGGAGAAAAAAGAACCTTTGGCCTGGGAAACCACACCCCTAAAAACCCCCAGCTGGGATTCAGAGGCTCCCACAGCAGGCAGCCCCCACGGCCACGCATCCCCCATGTCCCAGACAACTCCCAGGACACCCACGGAGCCATCCCCCCATCCCTAATGTCATCCAGACGCTGGGCACAGCGTGGGAGAGGAGCCCCCCGGGCCCGGCTGTGGGGTGGGAGGGCAGAAAGGGGGTGGTTCTCCTGTTGGGAAAGCACATCCCAGGGGGGCTGAGGCCCCACCAGGCCGTACCTGCACAGGGGGCTCAGCCAGGGGGGCTGAGGAGCTGCCCCTGTCCGGCTCCTCCAGCGCCAGGATGTCGATGGGAGCCTCGGCCACGTCCCGCAGGGACGGCTCGAGGCTCACGGAAGGGTCGAAGAGCAGAGGGGACGGGGGGCACTGCATCCCATCACCCACCACGTCCAGGTCCTGCAGGGGGGGGAAAAACAGCAGAGGGGCTCATCAGGAAGGGTCTGGGGAGACCTGGATCCTCACAGCCCTTCTCTGTCACCCCTGGAGCAGCAGAAGAGGAGAAGGAGGAGGAGGAAGAGGAAGAGGAGGAGGAGGAGGAGTGGGCATTGTGCCAGCAGCACCCCCGGCCAGCAGCTGGAACACACCACAGGAGCCTCCTCCTCCTCCTCCTCCTGCAGGAATGATCCCAGGACAAGGTGTTGGGACACATGGCCTGGAGCCCAGCGGGATGTGCTGTCCCAGAATTGTCCTCCTGGGGACCCCCCAGAGCAGCCTCCCCCCCTCTCCAGGATGTCACACCCCCCCCCGCCTGCCCTGACACCACAGATGGGGACGGATGGGCTCCGAGGACTCCTCCATCTGCCCTCCCTGCAGAGGGGAGAGGGGTGGGATTTGGGAGAGGCTGGGATTTGTTTTGGCTCCGGAGGGAGTTTGACACCAGGGTGAGATTCCTGCGACTCACGAGTGGCACCTCCCCAGCCTGGCATGATGTGAGACATAACACAGATGCCCCCGGCAGCCACAGCTCCAGAGCCCAGGATGGATGGGGGAAAACACTCTCATTTTTCCTTTCTAACCCCAAAAAATCCACCTCCTGCTCGCACAGGAAGGGGCTGGGATTTGATCCGAGCTCCCCCAGCCTGACCCCGTTTGCTCTCCTGGCTCCTGCCACCCCTGGGGCTCTGCAGCTGCTGGAATCCCTCCTCCACCAGCGAACTCCAAAGCGGATCCAAGGTTTGTCTCCAACAGCAGCACTCAGGAATCTCGGGAGCAACCAGAGCCCGAGGTGACACCTCACTCAGAGGAGCAGCTCCCACGGATTGGAGTGTTTTTGTTTTGCTTAAACGAATTTCCGAGGAGTTTAAGTGTGTTGGCTTAAATGCAGGATGCCAGAATAATCTGGGGATTAAAATCCTCATTTTTAACTCATGGGAGAGAAAATGGGGGGGGGGGGAAATCCTCTCTTTAAGAGGCCCCTACAGGGATTTAAACGAGCAGAGCCCTTCCAAAGGAGCAGCCACCAACCCTGAGGAACAGCTCCCAAACCTTCCCAGCTCCTGCACTTTCACAGATTCCCAGGAATGTTTGGGCTGGGAGGGACCTTAAAGCTCATCCAGTCCCAGCAGGGACACCTTCCACTAGCCCAGGTTGCTCCAACCTTGGACATTCCAGGGATGGGGCAGCCACAGCTTCTCTGGGCAACCTGTGCCAGGGCCTCCCCACCCTCCCAGGGAGGGATTTCTTCCCAATATCCCCTCTGGCAGTGGGAAACCATTCCCTCTTGTCCTGGCACTCCAGGCCCTTGTCCTAAGCCCCTCTCCATCTCTCTCAGAGCACCTTCAGGCACTGGAAGGGGCTCTCAGATCTCCCCAGAGCCTTCCCTTCTCCAGGCTGGACACTCCCAGCTCTCCATGGCAGAGGGGCTCCAGCCCTTGGAGCACCTCCACGGCCTCCTCCACCCTCACTCCTGTGCCAAGGATCCCAGAGCTGGATGCAGCATCCCAGGAGGGCTCTCTCAGGAGGGTCAGAGGGCTGTGGGCCCCACTTACATCACTGAATTCCAGGGGCAGGCTCTCGGTGGGCTGGAGCTCGGCCGCGCTCAGGTACAGCTCCGAGGGAGCAGCTCCCAGCTCCTGGGGCACGGCCAGGCCCTGCTCTGGGACGTACATCTGGGGGGGCAGGCGCAGGTGGAGGGGGCAGCACGGCTCCTCCGACAGGCTCACGGGCACGGGCTTGTTGCAGGGCACCTCCTCGGAGCCCTGGCACGGCTTGAACAGCGTCTGGTTCGTGTCCTGGCAGATATCTGGGAAGAGCTGGTCAAGGGAAAGCAGCCCAGGTACAGCCAGGCACTCATCCAGAGGGATAAAACTCCCAATCCCCCCACCAAACGCTGTTAAACCCCCCCCCCATTTCTCCCTGATGAAGAATCCACACCCCAGAGCTCCATCCCGACTGCCCAGGGATGTTGGGTGACGTTATTTCCACGATGGAAAACTGGGACAACAGCCACGGCCTCCCCCGTGGGGGGCTGGGAGATGTGGCTGGATCCCTGTAAACCACTGGCAGATCCTCGTGTGGATGTCACAAAGGCACGGGATTAACTTTTGTTTGCAGGCAGCCACGGAGAGGGATCAGCTCCAGCCCCACAGGCAGGGACATCCCAGCACACACAATGCCTCTCCCACAGCCAGGAGTTTAGTTCCGGTATTTCTGTCTTCCCAGTGCATTTTCCTTCCCCAATGGAAAACCTGTTCCTGCCAGAGGTGTAAATGGGATTTCCTGCCTTTAATCACAAACAGAAGCTCTGTTCTGATTGTGTCGCGCTTGTGGAGCGATCCAGTGGCAGAGGAGCTACAGATCCAACCCCATCCTGCTCTGATCCCATCCTGCTCTGATCCCATCCTCCTCCAGCCCCATCCTGCTCTGATCCCATCCTCTTCCGACCCCCACCTCCTCCAATCCTTTTTCTCTTCCGACTTCTTCCTCCTCTTCTGACCCCCTCCCTCTTCATCCAACCCCCTTCCTCCTCTTCCCCCCTTTTCTCCTCTTTTGATCCCTTCCTGTTTTTCCAACCCCTCTCTCCTCTTCCCATCCCCACCCTTTTCTTCCAACCCCTTCACCCTCCTCAGACCCCCCTCCCACCCCCCTTCCAATCTCAGCTGCTCTCCAGCTTTGGGGGCTTCACGCTGCAGTTTCCCCCTCAAACACCAGAGGAAAAAAATCCCAAACCCACATAAACAGGGAAAAGTCACCAAGTTTAACCCAGTTTCTTAAGCTGCCAAGGCCTGAGATTCATCCTTCCCTCCTCTCCTCCCTGAACAAGGATTTCTCATGGATCCACTTCCTAATGGGCTGTGGGGAGCCCTAATCCGGGCTGGCAGCAATGTCAGAGCCCATCCCAGTGGAGATGGATCCGAGCCACCCGAGGGCAGATGTGGGGAGAACAGGGGGTGGGGAAGGCAGGTTTTCATCTCCTGGAGTGACTCCCAGCTCCAGCAGCCAAAAGCACGGATTGCCTGAGATGCCAAAAAGCCCAGGCTCCACCTGGAGCCTCTCCCCACCCCTTCAGTGCCCTGTCACAAACAATCCAGCTCCTGGGAGCACAGAGAGCCCGAGAGGCTGCAGATGTTATCGGGATGCAGATGTTATGGGAAAGGCTTGTTTGTGTCAGGGGGAGTCAGCTGAGAGCTCCCGGCTCCTCCCCGCCCTCCCCAGCACCAGCTGCCAGCAGCGGCTTCTCCGGCTGTTTTATGGGATTTATCCTGTCTTTATTTTGAGGTATATGGCGGTTAGAGAGAAACAAAGGCAGCTTCCAGCTCCTGCTCCCTGCACAAGGGTGGAGGTGAAGCCGGTCAGCTCTGGGGACAAAACAAACCCAGGGGCTCCCACAAACCCAGGGGGGTCCCACAAACCCAGGGGCTCCCAAAAACCCAGGGGGCCCCAAAAACCCAGGGGCTCCCAAAAACCTTGGGGCTCCCACAGACCCTCAAGCTCCCACAAACCCAGAAGCTCCCACAGACCCGTGAGCTCTCACAGATCCCAAAGAGTGGAGGGAGCAGATGCACCCAGGGCAGTGCTGGGGCCGTGGGTCCCACGTTGGGGGGTGATCCCTGAGCTGGGAGATCCCAGTGGAAGTTTCAGTGCAGGGTCTCCAACAGCTGGGGCAGTTTTGGGAATTGGAACAGCTCAAGGCTGAAGAGTTGAAAGAACCCTTCAAGGGGTCACAGCGACCAAGCTGGGCTGTGGCAGCTCCAAACAGGCCCAGAACTACCCCTCCAGATCGTCCCCAAAATCCCCAAGGACATACTCCGGTGGTCAGACACCCCTTCCCACGCACATCCCTCACAACTGAGGCCTCCTTGGGGTCTCTGGGTGCTTCCAAGTGAACTGCCCACCCTGTTTGGATGCTCTGGATCAGGGAGGCTGTGGTGGGACCAGCCTTTGTCCCTCCCACACGAACCGGCTGCTCCACGGGACGGGAGCGCCGACAGACCGGGAGACGTTTTCCTCTGGGCTCCTGTTTGAAACCAATGGCTACAGCAAACCAGTGGCCTTGATTTAGGGCCAGGGAGGGGAAAAAGGAAGGGCAAACTGCCAGCAAACAGCCAGGGACAGCAGCAGGTCAGGTGGATCAAAGGATACGTGTGAGGCAGTGCCGGGTCATGGGCAGGGATGGGTTGGAGCATCGGACGTCATCGACAAAGGCCAAGCAGCGCTGGCTGGAACGGGTGGTGTGGGCCTGAAATCATGGAATGACGGATCTTAAAGCTCCTGTTCCACCCCCTGCCACGGGCAGGGACACCTTCCACCAGCCCAGGTTGCTCCAACCAGGCCTTGGACACTTACAGGGATGGGGCAGCCACAGCTTCTCTGGGCAACCTGTGCCAGGGCCTCCCCACCCTCCCAGGGAGGAATTTCTTCCCAATATCCCATCTAAATCTCTCATTTCTTAGTTTAAACCGTTCCCTCTTGCCCTATCACTGTCTGGTTGTGTAAGTCTCTCTTTCTAACAAGCCCCTTTTAGGCACTGGAAGGGGCTTAAGGTCCCCCTTGAGCCTCCTTCTCTCCTGGTTCAGCACCCCCAGCTCCCTCAGAAGTTGTCCAGACCCTTCTCCTTGTGCTCCAGCCCCTTCCCCTTGTGCTCCAGCCCCTTCCCCAGCTCCCTTCTCTTCTCTGGACACACTCCAACCCCTCCACACCTGCCTTGGGAGCGAGGGCCCCAAAACCAACCCCAGGATTGGGGGGGGGACAGTCACCAGACCACAGTGTCCTGGCAGGAAGGGGGGATCTGTCAGAGGCCTGGCATCACTCCTGGGGAAGAGACAAGAGGGGAAACCCCCCCGGGGTGTCCCCACAGACCTGCTGGGCTGCACCATCAGTGGCCAGGACGCGGCGCTCCCGGAGCTGCCGGTGCAGCAGAGCCTCCACCCCGTAGCGCTGCCGGTACCTCCGCAGGCACTTGAGCCGCTTCAGGTTCTCCCTCTCCTTGGCCATCAGCCCCTCCGGGCCCGTCAGGAGGCTGCTCCCTTCAGGAACGACAGAAAAAGTCAGGAATCTCCACCCACCTGCCTGTTTTGTTCAGCATCAAGAGCCCAAATCGGCTCCGAGAGCCACAGAGGGGGATGCAGAGGGTCAACACAAAGCTCTGGGTGACACAAATAACTCAGGTTCCACCCCAGAATTCACCCTGACCTCTCTGTGCACACCAGGAGCACTGGGGTAATTTTAAAAACCCTTTTTAAAAATAGCCCTGCCACTCCCGTCCGTTGTGATTTCTGCAGCAGAGCGGGAGCTTGGCAAATTCCAGGTCGCTCCTGCGCGAGTTCTGGAAGCTTCCCGCCAGCATTCCTGGTGTAATTACAGGGCAACACTCAAGATCTGCTCTCCTCTGACTGCTTTGCTAAAAAGAGTTCTGCAAAATTGGTATGTACCGAAGTCCTGGTTATTTTTACTTGGGCCTGAGCTGAATTATGACATTTTCCGGGACGAGCTATTAAAGGATGATGCTGGAAAAAAAAGAGTCCTTTGCTCTGCAATACTTGGGATCAGTCACAGAGCTCGGTTTTGCCTCAGTTGAACTGGGAATTCCTGCTTCCAAGAGCATATCCTGCACAGGGAGAATCCCACCAGAGGCAGAGGGAAAGCTGCATCCATGCTGAGGAGGAATATGCCAGTACAGCAGCACTGGTGCTACTGGAACCAACTCCTGCCCACACACCCAGGGCCTTACGGACGAATATTTTTTGTTTATAAAAGCAAAAACAGGAAATCCCAGTACAAAAAAAGCACTTTTGTCTCAGAATTAACTTTGTAAGCTCATTTCCTGTCAACGCTGCAAAGCTTTGAAGAGCAAAGAAATGCTTTGGGAAAAGCTTTGGAACCCCGACGATACGGATCTCTGGGCACGGGGCCAGCACAGGATCCCAGAATCCCTGAGGTTGGAAAAGACCTCCAGGATCATCGAGTCCAACCTGTGCCTGATCCCCCACCTTGTCCCCCAGCCCAGAGCTCTGAGTGCCACCTCCAGTCCTTCCTTGGACACCTCCAGGGACGGGGACTCCAAACCTCCCTGGGCAGCCCCTTCCAATGCCTGACAACCCTTTCCATGGAGAAATTCCTCCTGATGTCCAACCTGACCCTCCCCTGGCACAACTTGAGGCTGTTTCCTCTCATCCTGTCCCTTGTTCCCTGGGAGCAGAGCCTGATGCCCCCAGCTCCTCCCTCCTGTCAGGGAACTGTAGAGAAGAAGAAGGTCCCCCTTGAGACTCCTTCCCTCCAGGATGAGCCCCAACAGCTCCCTCAGTTCTCCAGACCCTTCTCCTTGTGCTCCAGGTTTTTGGACATGCTCCAGCCCCTCAATAAAAACACCTGAGCGTGGAACCCTCACCCTGCTCCAAAATCTGCCTCTACAAAGGCCCAAAACCCCTCTTTTGAGACGTTTTTCTGTGCACACCCTCAGCCAGGTGGCCCCAGGCTCACCGATGGCCTCGTGCTCTCCCTTCCTGCTGTGCAGGAACCGGCGCTTCTTCTCCTTCAGGAGGTGCTGGAGCCTCTTGAACTGGTCGATGTAGAGGGACTGGAGCCGGATCAGCTTCTCCCTCATGATCAGAGCCACCTCCTCGGCCGTGTACACCCCGGCGTGCCTGCAAAAAACAGGGGCCGTTTGGGATGGGGCCCTCGGGGTTGTTCTCCTTCAAGGGTGTGGGGATTCCCCAGGATTGTTCTTCAAGGGGTGTGGGGATTCCCCAGGATTATTCTCCCAAGGAGTATGGGGGTCCCTCAGATGTTTTCTCCCACAGGGTGTGGGGATCCCTCAGGATTGTTCTTCAAGGGGTGTGCGGATCCCTCAGGATTGTTCTCCCAAGGGGTGTGGGGATTCCCCAGGATTATTCTCCCCAGGGGTGTGGGGATCCCTCAGGATTGTTCTCCCAAGGGGTGTGGGGATTCCCCAGGATTGTTCCCCTAGAGGATGTGGGGATCCCTCAGGATTGTTCTTCAAGGGGTGTGGGGATCCCTCAGGATTATTCTCCTGAAGGATGCGGGGATCCCTCGGAGCTGAACCCCCAAAGGGTGTGGGGGATTCAGCTCCTCACAGGATTCAACATGGATTTAACGGGATTTAACCCCCCCAGACCCACTTGAGGGGATCCTCCTGGTCGCTGTCGATGCTGTCGGCCTCGCTGTCGGGGTCCCCCCGCCACGTCTGCTCCACGGTCACAGGCTCCTGCTCCCCGTCACTCCAGCTGTCCTCGTCTGGAACACACGGCACCGGGAATGCCGGGACCCCTTCCCACGGCCCGGGGTGGCCCCACAGCCCCACGGAGCCCAGCTGGCTCTGCCTTGTGCCCAGAGGGAATCCTCCACCCCAAAACTGAGCGAGGGACACAAAACAGGAGACCTCCCCCAGCTGGGCAGGGTCGAACCCACCGAGCCCCTGGGAGCGACGCTCCAGCCTTCCCAGGATCCATGGAACACCACTGAGCAACCCCACTGACATTTCCACGTTAAACCTGCAGGATTTGGGCCTGCTCTGCAGGAGAGACACACCAAGGTTTGCAAAACAGCACCTCTCCCCACCTTCAATAAATGGATGGTCTCTGGATGGTTTTTGGGAAACTTGTTCCACATGGGCTTGTTTTTAGGAAGATTCAGTGCTGGCCTCTCCCTCCAGCACCTCTCCCCCAGTGACCCTCCCCCTGTCAAGGGTTTGGGAACGGGTTTAGTTCTGGTTTTGGGTCTGGCTTAGATTTCAGGCTCTGGACAAAGGCCCAGCCCTTTGTTTCCCCCAACTCCTTTGGAGGCCTCAGACCCAGGGTGGTTTTCCCACTGGATTTAAGAAGGGATGTTCTGGGCTTTTCCCCATGAAACCGGAGCGCCCAGGGCCCTCTCCCGGGGGATCCTTACCCAGGATGCGGCTGGCCTCGCTCCGGGCGCTCTCCGTGCTCTGGGAGCCCAGCTCTGACCTGGCATAGGAGCTCAGCTGGCACAGCAGGGTCTCGCTCACGGGCCCGGGGTGGGATTTCTTCCCCTGGGCCTGGAGCGCCAGCGCGTTCCGCCGGGCGTGCTCCGCGCAGAAGGACGTGCTGCGGGAGGAACCAGGGCAAGTTACAGCCCCCAGCCATGGAATCAGGGATGGTTTGGGGCAGAGGGACCTTAAACATCATCCAGTTCCACCCCCTGCCACGGCAGGGACACCTTCCACCAGCCCAGGTTGCTCCAAGCCCCGTCCAACCTGGCCTTGGACACTCCCAGGGATGGGGCAGCCACAGCTTCTCTGGGCAACTGTGCCAGGGCCTCCCCACCCTCCCAGGGAGGAATTTCTTCCCAATATCCCATCTAATCCTGTCTCCTCTCAGTTTGAAGCCATTCCCCTCTGTCCTGGCACTCCAGACCCTTGGGAATAGTCTCTATCCACCTTTCCTGCAGCTTCCCTCCGTGTCCTGGAAGGTCACCCCAAAGCTTTCCCTTCTCCAGGCTGAACAATCCCAATTCTCCCAGCCTTTCCCCATGGCAGGAGCTGCTCCATCCCTCTGACCATCCTGGAGCATTTTAAACAGCTCAGAGAAGCAGCAGCACAACCAGGGCAAAGCTCCCCAGGATTATCCGCCGGCACAGGCAGAGGGAAGCTCCGTGCTGGGATGAGGGAGGGACGGAGCCTGGAGCACTGCAGCCACCTCCTGCTGGCCCAGGGCACAGCCATGGTGCCAAAAGGATTCCCTGGAGCCTTTTTCCAGCTTAAAAACGCTTTGGGAAAGGGGAGATGCTTCTCTGAGGTGATTCGAGTGCAGCAGTTGAAGGAGGAAAATTATGGAATCTCCTGAGCTGGAAGGGACCCACAAGGACCATCCAGTCCAACTCCTGTGCAGGGCACCCCAAGATCCCACTAATCCCAAAATCACACCATGTGCCTGAGAGCCTTGCCCAAATGCTCCTTGAGCTCTAGAATCATGGAATATCCTGAGCTGGAAGGGACCCACAAGGACCATCAAAATCCAACTCCTGGCCCTGCACAGGACACCCCAAAATCCCACTAATCCCAAAATCCCAGCTCCTGAGAGTGTTGTCCAAATGCTCCTTGAGCTCTGGCAGCCTTGGGGTCATGACCAAACCCTGGGGAAACTGTTCAGTGCCCGACCACCCTCCGGGGGAAGAACCTTTCCCCAAAAATCCAACCCAACCCTCCCCTGACGCAGCTCCAGCCTTTCCCTCGGCAGGGACCACAAGGAGAAGAACCTTCTCCTGCTCATTTTAATTCCACAGGGTAAAAACCACAGGGAATATCAGGAATACCAGGAGGCAGAGGAGCTCACCCATCCTTCTTCTCGGGTTTGGGGGCGGCGTTGGGGCAGCGCTTCCCGTTCTTGGCGGACACGTAGCTGCACTGCTTGAAGGGAGCGTTCCTGTCCTCCAGGATGTGCTTGATGCAGAATTCCTGCCCCTCCAGGCGGGGCTGGGAGCAGGGCCGGGGGCTGAAGGCACAGGCCAGCGGCTCCTGAGGCCGCGGCACCGGGGTCAGGCGGCCCCGGCTCGTGGGCAGCACGTGGATCCGGATCCTGTTCATGGCAACGCCTGCAGGGAAAGAGAGGGGATGAAACACCCACAGGATGAAGAGAAGAAGCTGGGAACTGATCCGGGTAAAATTCTGACCCCCATGGCCGGTACGGTCCCCATCCCTTCAGGGCCCCCCCAGTTCCCAGGATCACGCCCCCATCACTGACCAGAACAGAACTCTCTCTTCCTGAATCCCGGGGTATCCCGGTTCCTCTCCCTGCCTGCATCCCCGTGCTCCCG